CTAAATACTTACCAGGAATTAAACTACTTTAATCCTCCCAACAAATTATCAACTGTGGGATCTTGGGCAATTTGCTTAGCCTTTCCAAACCCTGATTTCATTTCCAGAGAACGAGAGARAGGCTTAGAAGATTGATTTGTTTGAGTTCACTCAGTGAGGACTGGAAGGGCCAAGCAAGGACCCAGTCCACTTCCTCACCACTGGTCATGGCTTCTTTTTAGAATTAGCCAGACAGGCAGAGCTGGATGCTCCCAAAGGTACCCTGTAGCCCTCACATTCACTTGCACCATGTGATTCTTCTAAAACTTAAATGCACAAATGATCATGAATAAGAAATGCATGAATCCTTTTCCAAGCTACCACTCTAATCTTTGAGACTGACCCTTCAAACTAGGTGGCCTATAAATGATTTTTGAAAAGCTCATAACAACTGCTACAATGGCTTCAAATGAAGGTTCTGATGAACTCATGATCTTGAAAACATTGCTATCTCTATAACAAATGTATGACTGAAAAAAGAGTGATAAATCACAAAATAAATGATCACTACACATCAACTTCCCTTTGTGAGAAAAGAAATCAAATACAAATTGATTGAAGATCATTTCAGAAAAAAATAAGCAAAAACATGACATACATTCATTTCTTAAAGAACGATTAGAAAGAAATCTTACAAGACAATTTGGCATTACCAAAACTTTGCACCACAGCCCTAGACCACGTAATTCATGACTTTAAGGATGAGAGGGGCAGAGCATGTAGCTTCTGCAAGGCTTATGTTTATAGGAAACACATGGGATTTACAGCTGCTGGATCTGGATGTGAATCCCAGCCCTGCAGTTGTCTAGGAATGTGTGGTCTTGCAAGTAACTTCAACTTATAAACCTCAGTTTCTGCATCTGCTCAAAATGGAATTACTGCCTCATGGCAAGTTATTTGATGGTACAGATAATGCCTATGATATGCTTGGACATGAAAGTTTCTCAATAAATTGTAGCTAATAATAACAAGTACAATGGTATTGATAATTAAATATATATATATATATATATATATATATATATATATATACTGTCACCAGCAGAGAGAGTAAGTGCTAGTTAGGCGCCTCAGCCTGGAGTGGATCCCTTGTTTTGTATCCTTGGCTCTTCTTTCCTCGTGGCATTCATATTGTATTTAACAATGATCTCAGTTGATCTCATTCCTCTCATACCATCTACATGCCTTTACTTTAACATCTTTGGCTCTTCCTGAGAGCAAGGTACTTCTCAGCCACACCACAGCTAAAAAGTGGAGCTAACAAATACACTTATGGTGAGGATAAATGGGTTCATCTGTGAAAGCTTAAAATCATATATGACACAGACACATTATAAGAACCAATTAAATGCTAGGAAGTGATGTTGCTGATGTTGTTTTAATCATTTGGTGAAGGTCATTATAGAACCAGGACCAACCACCTGGATAAAAACTGCGCCATATAATGTTGGTTAATAAATTGGAAATAGAAGAGTATGAAAATTCTTGGCAGTGAACAAGTAGTGTTTCAGACTAATGACAAGAATAATAAAACACAAGATGTTATCTCAAGGGCAAAACCAAAATTAGGTTGCAGATTATAAGGAGGTTCAATCAATTAACCAGGTAATCCTAGTAGAGACCCAGGGTTTCCAAAGTGCTTCACTATAAGAGGAGTTTGAGAATATGAAAGATATTGAGACTCAAAGCCAAATTTTTTTTTTTAAAGAGAGAGTGAGAGAGGAGAGAGAGAGAGAGAGAGAATTTTTAATATTTATTCTTTTAGTTCTCGGCGGACACAACATCCCCGTTGGCATGTGGCGCTGAGGATCGAACCCGGGCCGCACGCATGCCAGGCGAGCGCGCCACCGCTGAGCCACATCTCCAGCCCAAAGCCAAATTTTTTTAATGATAAAGAATAATGAGGCAAGGAGAGTACATATTGCTTCCCCCTCCCCCCAAAAAACAAAACAAAAAAACATTTCCTTTTTTCCCTGTGTCTTGCCATTTTTCTAAACCCTTTTTTGCCACGTTTAGAAAAATAGCATTGATCCCACTGTGTCACTTCCCCTCATACCACTTAAGACATTCAGCTACCTAAACAAATGTAATGAACAACTGCCATTCTTATAAATCTTCCAAGAAACAGCTATGCAACTAGAGAATCCTGGTTTGCAAAGATAACATATAATCCTGTTGCTTTGGGTGTGGCTTTGTGCAGAGGGATGTAGGGGCTGGAATTCAAACCACTGCCTCCAATATCTCATAGATAAGAATGATGACACTTGAGCCAGGGTGAAGAACAGGGTGTCCCTACAAGCTGTCTGGCCTTCAAACCTTCTGAAGCACCCACTACTTTGCACAGGGCCTGATAAGAGGCCAGCAGCCCAGTCAAGGTCCTTTGGGTCTCCAGAAAAAGTAACAGGGAGGAACTTGAAAGAACCCACTTCAGGGTATGGGATGAGGAACAAGAGGCATGTTTTTCAACAGTTGTGAGTGGTTGCAGTGCACCCCTCAAGAACAGTAACTTCAGCAGCCACTTCATTATATTTCTACTGTAAATGATACAGGCCTGAGCCAAGTCAGCACCAAAACTCCCTACAGAATTTAGTGGAGGTTAGGTCATCTGCACTCTATTGACAACTGCTGAACTGAAAACCTCTAACAAGGCATCTCAGCAACAGTATGTGGCCTGCCACTAATGAGGCTCTTTTTCCATGAATAATGAACAAGAACATCATCTCTGTTGCCAGGTACACAACATAAACAAAGCTCAACACAGGCCCTTGATATGGTGAGTTTGTCCATTTGCAACAAAGGAATTTTTCAAAGTGTGAGCCAAGTTTTAGTGGAGGGTGGGACAGGCTGTTGTAACAAATAATACGAACATATGTTATCAGAATCTAATAAATCAGCTTTTGGTTATTGTGGAACAGAGGCTGTGCGATGGGACACAGGGAGACAATGAAGGCTCCAAATGAGTTCATTTCTTTATTTTGCAATCAGTTTTATAACACAGGCTGATGATTTCTGTAAATGAACTGAGATCTTCATGAAAGGACTCTTATGAGACGTGTGATCCCCAAGGCACTATTGGTTAAACCTCTATTTCTTACGCCTTGATATATCAGGCTGAGTACTGGTCAGTAATGGGATAGGAACACTGGAACCTTGTTGTGACATCTGGAAAAGTGCACTGCCACCTGAACCCATGGACATGGGACTAGGTTTCTTTGGTATTAAAAGAAGCTTGGGCTTGGTTGTGGCTTAGTGGTAGAGCACTTACCTAGCATGTGTGAGGTACTGGGTTCCATCCTCAGCACCACATAAAAATAAATAAATAAAATAAAGATTCATTGACAACTAAAAAAGAATTAAAAGAAGAAGAAGAAGAAGAGGAAGCAGGAGCAGCAGCAGCCCAATGTGTGGGCACTGTGGCTACAGGAAAGCCCCTTAGCTTAGGCTCTCAAGCTTAGACCACTGTTCAGAAGAACAGGAAAATTCCAGCACGTAAACAGAGAATAAAAGTGAGCTGACATGAAGGCCAAACAGTCTTTATTTTGTTTACTTTAAAGTGTTCCACAGATACTTTTCTTTTTCTAAAATAAGTTCCATACTAGGTAGCACATATCTTCTTACACAGGGTGTTCATGTCCACATAGCAAAACGATGCTATCACTGGCAGAGGGCATTTAGTTCCCACCAATTTAAGCAAAAACAAAAAGTCTCAAAAGGCCTCAATTTCGCTCAACTGTAAGGAAAACAGCTCCAACCCATTTCAGAGATTCCTTATAAAGAATTTTGTGGAATTTTATGAAAAATAAGACCTAAATGAAAGTTTGCCCTACATGCTTGACGAATTCCTGAGACTTTGTAATCTGAAAAATTCTTTAAATGAATTAAACATGCTTACTAAAGAAAGAATATCTTATAAAACAAAAAAAATGATTATGCAATATAAGTAACACTCCATAATATTCATTTTACATGCAAACACATTTATTTCAGGGAGAAAGTCAACAAAATAAGACAGAATAATATGAAGTTCTGCAGAACTTCTAATAGCTAGGTCATGACAGGTAATTATACAGATAATTTTTTTGTGTATGGTGTTAAGAATTAAACCCAAGACTGCTTTACCCCTGAGATACACTCCTGGTCCTTTTTATTTTTTTGTTTTAAGACAGGGTCTCGCCCAGTAACTGAGGCTGGCAGCAAACTTTCTATCCCCCTGCCTCAGCCTCCCAAGTCACTGTGATTATACGCATGAGCCATTGTGCCTGACTTATGCAGATAATTTCTGTACAAAGAATCAAATGGTGAGTTCACAAATAATGGTAATATGAACAGAAGAGTTTAAAATCTCTAGGACGTACCAGTTAATCTTCTGGTTTTTTAAGAACAGCAACCAGAATGGTGAAGAGACTTTAAAGCCCATTCTAAAAAAAGAAATGGGGATATTCTGCTAGTGAGGAAAAGACCTAGGGTAAAACAGACAGGGTTTTATCTTCAAATGTTTACTGAGCTGTCACAAGCACAAGGACTACTAGCTGTTCTATACTGCTCCAGAGGCTCAACATGACCAACAGGTAGTGCTCACAGGGAACCAATGTGGTGTCACAGCAAGACCTCTAACAGTCAGTGCTGTCCTAGACCTCTAACACTCTGCTGCCAGCACAGTGACTCCTGACCATGAAGGAATAAAGCAGAGTGAATATAATGACCTGCTGGGGAGAGAGCACCAGGGGAGTCTGTGGGGAGGACGGAGAGGATTGGGAACAGGCCACATGAAGTTTCTGCCCCTACTAAGCATGAATTTCTAAAGATTCTCTAAAACACCATCATGAGACTGGAGGTGAAATTCTTTGAGAAGAGAATTACCTAGCTGCTATGCTACTTGAAATGATCCTTTCAGTTTAATCACTGGGACATGTCAAGAAGAGAGCGAGTTCTCAAGAACATACAAACAGCCAAGGACTCACCGTCATATTTTGCTAAGACTGCCTGAACGTCAGCATATGCTTGAAGTTCCAGAAGGGCTTCTAAAAGATTTTCATGGATGTTGAACATGCTCAGAAGAGGGAACTCCTTCATTAACTAGAAAAGAAGACACCAAGGAATGTACAACATGATGTTTGGATATACACAGTGAAATGATTACTACAGTCAGAACATTTTAAGAAATAAATATTTCTCTTTTTAAAAACATTTTTAAACTTTGTTTTATTAGTTTACTTTTTTATATGGTGCTGAGGATCAAACCCAGTGCCTCACACGTGCTAGGCAAGTGCTCTACCACTGAGCCACGACCCCAGCCCAAATTTTTTAAAAAATTTTTGTACCAAGGCTTGAACCCAGGGTCTCATGCATGCTTGGCAAGTGCCCTACCACTGAACTTACATCCCCAGTTCTTTTCTTTTATTTTGAAACAGAGATCCACAAAGTTGCTGAGGCTGACCTGGAACTTTTGAGCCTCCTGACTCAGTTGCTAGGATTACAGACATGTACCACAGAATCAGGTTTCTTATTTTTTTTTAAAGCTATTACCAAAGCATAATATTTTTCTAGTATAAAAGTATAATTCATAATACTGGATTATAAGTTTTCACATTATTATGTTTTAAAACTCAAATAATTTTTTTCTATTTTTTCCCTGAAATTTTAGAAAAATGGAATTTCTGGTTATAGTTTAATGTGCTTGTGTGTTTCTGGAGATCAAACTCAGGGAACTACCATGGAGCTATATTCCTATCCCAGAAAAATGGCAGGTTTTTCTTTGTGAGATTCTACTTACAGTGAAGAAAATCCAAAAAAGAAAGATTTTCATAAAAAACTGAAGAAGATGGTCAATAATGACAAAATGTTATAGAGAAACCAAATAAGGTAAAAGCTAAAAAATAACTCACAGGCTTTCCCAGATCAGTGGTAAGCTTGTTAAAAGCAGTTTGGACGAAATCCAGAGAACAGAAGGATAAGAAATCAGGCACTATTCTTTTGAGCATCCTGGGAGGGGTGGGGCAAAGGTAAGGAGAAAAAAGTAGAAAAGTAGCTAGAAGGTGACACAGTTGAGAGAAAATTTATCAGTAGGGACAGGAGTGGTGGTCAAGAAGGAAGTTCACAAGTTCCTGCCTGGTGGCCTTCTGAAACAGGGAATACATGGTGGGAGGAAGTTTAAAGATAGGAGTGAATTAGTGGCTAATCTAATTCACAAAGGAAAAGAATAATTAGGTAAAAATATAAGAATGGCAAAGGCCATCTCCAGGACCCAACAGATTGCAGACCATGAATTTACAGAGGCTACCACTGCCATGGTTGTTGAGTCCCAGCTAGCAGTGGTCAGCAGTCCAGTGACAGCAAGACATTTAATGATGACGTTGAGTGTGGGCAGACCAGATTAGGTTCCATGAAAAGTCAAGGAGCAAGAGAGTTGGCTGTAATGGTGAAACAATGGTTAAAGGAATGGCCCAAACCTTCTAGGTTACATGGAGAAGAAGTGAGGTCCAAATGGAGTTAAAATAAATAAAATTAAACTTCATGGGAAAGCAAAGACAAAGAAGAAAGGACCAAGAATTTCACAGTAAAATCTTATCTTAGAGAAAGGTATCTCATTGTAAAAGACGATCAGATCCTTCATAAAGCACTCGTATATTTATGCTCCTCCAAATGGATCAACTGATTTCTACTATAAAGACTTCTAAACAATTGATAATTCTTTTTATGTCAACATCTTTAAAGCAATTATGCTGAGAGAAAAACAGGCTAATCCACTGCCACGGAGGAACTAAGTGGATGCACTGCAGGGACTTCTTCCTTTATTAGGAACATTTACCATATTGTTTTGTTTTATAAAGCCAAGAATCATTTACCATATCTTTAAAAATAAATAATTTTCTGGAACCCCAAAGAGCATCATATTACCAGTGAAAAACACCTATCAAAATGATCATGTGTTCATGACTGACAGTCTGAACCCCACTGAGGGACCTGCAGTATTTTCATTGTTAGTAATGGAAGTGAATAAGATGACACCACGCATTGTTGCTGTTCTGAAACCAATAAAAGTATTTCTTGTTCTGGTTTACTTTGATTCTGGCTGACATCACCCTTCAATTTTTTTCTCGCTAATTAAAGTTTGTTAGAAGAAAAGCTCTCTGCCACTCAGCAATTGGCAAYACAATAAAGGCATTCTCTAAACTGCAACATTTAAACATTTATTGGTTTTGACCAATTCCTCAGGTAACATCAAACTTCAAGGAAACAAATCGCATTCTGTAATTTAAAAACTGTATTTCCAAATATTAGTTGCTAAAGATTAAAAATTGAGTTTTATTAAAACCCAGTCAGACCCTGTGCACCAACATGGCAGTCTCAGATAGTTTGAACAGAACTTTTGTGAGGAGCTTGAGCAGCTGCTCTTTCACTAGGAGCTTGGACAGAGTATACTGTGCCGCCCCAAAATAATCACCAATGAGAGGCTTTTAAACATGAGGAAGAGCACATGTTGAGGAGTAATCTAATTCATATGACAATTTGGAAACTTAGCTTTCTTTATTTAACATAAACAAGATGGAAGAGTGAACCTTCTGCTATCTCTATCACTCTCCTTAGTCCTTTGTAATAATCTTAGAAACCAAGCCTATGAATGCTCTCCTAGCCTGTTACCTCCCCGCTGCACCACTCACTGTAGCAGCTCTCCCCACAACTCTTCTCCATCTACTGGTCCTGTCCCACAATATAGCTGACTCAAATCCCTCTTGTGGATACCCTCCAGTCCTCTTCTTGCTTGACCTCTGCACCATTTGACAGTTTGATGAGTTTTTCCTTGAAACTCTTGTCTCTCCTGGCTTCCTTGACACCATTTTCTCCTGGGTTTTTCCGTACAGTACTTGAAGCTCCCCATCACCTGCTACTTAGGAGTAAATCAGTTTTCAGGTTGTGTTCCACTTCCTCTTACAAACAGCTGATGTCTAGAATTACTTTTGTATCCAGAGTCTCAGTCTTTATGGGATGGCTCCCACATGCCAACATCCTGCTCCAACCTCTCTACTAAGCTGTCGGATCAATTTATAAATGATCTCCCTGCAGGTCAACCCCTGTGTCCTTAAAGGCAACATACCTAACATTGAATTGATAACTTCCCCTTCTCTAGATTAACCCTTCAAACTTGTTCTTCCTCGTTGGTATTTTCTATTTTGGAGAACAGTGCTGTTAATGTGCCTGTCACCCTCTTCTACAACACTACAACCACTTTAGAAAGTCCCCCAAATACCTTAATTAATATGTAAAAAGTGCTGATATCTTTCATCAAGTTCATAGAAAGCTGTATATGAAAAAAAATTAAAAAGCCTTAAGAATCAGTACCATCTTGTCTTTTCTCTGATGTGCTGACAATAAGTTAGCTTCTGGCCTTGTACTTTGTCTAAATTGCTTAAGTAGCCACCTTAGTTGGCCTGCCTCAGGTTCACCTCTATTGATTAGCTCCTTGCTAATGCAGAAATATTCAAAGGTGAAGTGATTGGACTGTGAAAGCTGTAGCCTCTTCAGTCCATCCTAGTTTAAATGAATAGACTGTAGGCAGGTGAGGCATGGCTGGAGTAGGTCAATCAGTGGGGGTGTGCCCTGGATGGATGCACCTTCTCTTCATCAGCCTATCTTCCTGGATGACATGAGGTAAGCAGTTTTCCTCTGCCTCACCCTTGGGCCATGATGTTCTGCCTCATCTTGGGCCCAGAGCAATGGAGACTCTAGACTGAGACCTCTGAAACTGTGAGCCCCAAACACAGTTTTCCTTCTCTAAATTGTTCTTGTTAGGGCATTTTGGTCATGGCAACACACAACCTCTTTCCTATCTACCCTTCACAATGCTATCATAAAGGCTTCTAAATATACACACTGGATCCATCATGCCCTGGAGGGCCACAGCTATCCCACTAGACTACAGAGGTAGCTAGATCCATCCCAAGGAAATAATCAGATGTGAATACAAATTTACAAATACCTTGTTTATCACATTATTTCTACTAGAAAAAAATGCAAGCATCTTAAATTTTAACCAATTATTAGACACTAAATTATGGTCAGAGTCATCCTCTGGACTATTACATGTAATCAGTAGAATTTCTCAAAGAACTTTTAATAGCATGCCTAGAAGTGCTGGAAAACAATGTAACATTAGAAAAAACAGGATACAAACTATGTTTTGCAATTAGATCATGCTTTTCTTATGTCTTTATGCATAAAACATACTTTGTTAGAAATATACTAAAAAGTTTTAAACAGTGACTATTTATGGTTGGTGAGATTAAAAGTATTTTTTTAAATTTCTTCCATATTTTCTGTATGTTCTAATAGTTTTAGAAGCCCTTTGCATACATTAGATACATTGGGGGGGGGGGAGAGTGAATATTTTTAAGAATACTGGCTTCATGTCAAATTCAGGATACAATCCAAAATCTTTTGCATGGCAAACAGTCCTCCATGACCAGTCCCTGTCGGCCCCAGCAGCCTTATTTCAGTCACTTCATGCACACTATGCTCCAACAATGGAAAAGCTTTCCGTTTCTTAAATGTGTCACCTTCACTCATGTTTCTATCTTCCAGCCGCCCAGCCCTAGAGCACTCTCCCTTCTTCCTCCTTAGTCAATCTGACCAACTCAACTTTATGACTCCTTAGCCTGCCCCCAACTATTGACTTTTTACCCTCCATCTGCAAGCGAAGTGCACCTGACTAAACTACCAGAGTCCTAGTCACAATAGTCTCCTGATCCACCTTCTCCATGAGTGGTCTGGTCAGGGACTGATCCATCATGGTGCTCTATACATACTTCATGAATGGAATGTTTTCTTACATTCTATTCCTTTGGGGACATATTCTATGAGTGCTGCCACAGACCTACTTCAGGCTCTTAGGTTACATATCCCTGAACATGTTGTTCTTCTATTTACATCTTCTATTATCCACATCTTGGAAAAAAGGTATAGCTAGAAACTGTAAGTTTTGACTCTACATACAGAAGAAATTTCTTTCACAAAAGTGTAAGAAAATATTTACATATTACATATTTACAGCTGCCTACATGTGTAGTTGATGGTCTAGA